GGGGGGTAAAGGTCCATTTAATACAAAGCTGTAATTAATTTGGTGTCGTTTATTGCTGCCAGGAGTTCAACTTCAAACAATTAATTTGGCCAAAAATGAAATGATAGTCAGGTGCAAAACGTACCTTAGAACAAAATGGCTGCCAAACACACAAAGGCACATGTAGAAAACTGCTTCTTTCAACGAAAACACTCAATTTGTTAGAATTAGGGATGCACCGATACCAAGTACCGTACTCGGTACAAGTACAGATATTTTTCCAGCTCTAAGACTAGACTAGAGAAATTTTCAGAAGTTAGGAGGCCGCATGTGTAAGGAGCACACGGAGCACCTGGGATTTGTACATCTCTGTTTTATTGTATGATTTTGTTTTTATAAATATATATTCGGGATGCACCGATACCAGTTTTGCGAGTACAAGTACTGATTACTTGCCCCAAGTACTTACAGACACAAGTACTGATACATTTTTGTTTATTGTCATGTGACAGCTTTTCTAAAACAATACAGACGAATGATTACAGGACGGTGGTGGAGGGCCAGAGCCCGGTCCCAGCTGCAACCGCGGTAGTTCTCATGAAAATGCCACGGCACTGGTATCTGAACTGGTATCGGTGCATCCCTAGTTAGAATGTATGGCATTTTGTTTCCCCATTGGCAGGAATTCATATTTCATTAACATAAAATAGGACTCACTGTATGGCTGGACTGCCAGCTGATGAGGTGGCCCTGGGAGGGGTAGACCAGGGGCACCCAAAGCTGGTGGGTCATTGTGGGCAGTGCCTGACTGCTGTAGCGCCAACTCAATCTCCTCATCGGTTAACCCTGCAAAAAAACAAAAACAAAGAACAGATAAAAGTCAGATCTTTCCTGCTCCTCCGACATCGCTGAGCTATGGTCTGATATTCCAATAAAAACAACATCGTCCAATTCCACTGCTGTCATTTTAAAATATAAGCCAGAAAGGAAAAGAGACAAAACGTGAATTATAGAGCTCAATCTCTCAGGCTCGGAGTCTGGGCGGAGAAATTGTTCGAGGTTTGATGTTTCTCATTCAATTTGCTTAATTTCTCAGCAATTTTATTACTGCAGCTTCGAGTCTGATACATTGCAAGCTACTCATCAACGGCAAAACATGGCTCATTTTCATCCGCTCCGTCCGCCATTAACTCCTCTGTCACCGAGAAGTTGGGCTGTGGGGGGGGGGGGGGACGTGTGGTGGAACTGTCCTGGTTAAAGGTTAGTGTCCTCGATTCAGCTCACGTAAAAAACTCCCACAAAACCAGACAAAAAGAAAAAGGGAATGGAAAACTAACCAGAGCTAATTATGTAAAGAGGAAGCTCGTTAAAGTGCATCATTACTACAGAGAAGGAAAAGAAGTCTATATTTTATGACAAACGCAGAAATAAAAAGGAAATCAAAAAGCTCACAAAGTGATTATATGAACAGAGAATGGAATACCAAAAGAATGCCAAGTAGTACTGCTGAAGGATATGCCGATCGCCGTCACAATTTTTGACCATGCTTGACGTCCACGGCGAGACTGGGCAATTTTGAAGAGCTGGAGATTAAATGCTACTAGAACCTTACAGCGTGCACCTAACTTTGTAGAAGCAATTGTAATGTTTTTAGAAGCACACTGGGATCAAGTCCTACCTACACACAGAGTGATGGCACACAGTTTGATCTAGAGCAGGGGTGCCCACAATTTTTGTGTTAAGATCTACTTTTCAAAACGACGAGCTACATGAGATCTACTAACGGAAAAAAACTCGCTCTCTCTCTCCTGGCTGTCTCTCCTTCCTCATCCACCTGGCTGTCTCTCCTCGCTCTCTCTCTCTCCTGGCTGTCATTCCTTGTTTTCTCTCCTGGCTGTCTCTCTTTGCTCTCTTGGCTCTCTCCTGGCTCTCTCTCCCCTGGCTGTCTCTCCTCTCTCTCTCCTGTCCGTCTCTCCCCGCTCTCTCTCCTGGCTCACCTTGCTGTATTTTGCAACAGGCTGTGTAAACTAATATTCTTTGATGTAATACATTGCACTTCAACCACCAGTATCCACCAGAAAGGTGTCGGGAAGCTCCGCTCAGCAGACTCAGGCTAATAGGTAATCATGTGTGCACAGCTAAATAAATATACCAACATGGAATAAAGGGGCCGCCATTCCCCCCCTTCCTGATCTACCAGCATCAGCTTTGAGAGCTACTGCTAGATCACCATCTACCTAATGGGCACCCCTGATCTAGAGCATATCGCGCAATCTTTATTAAGTCATGTACCATCCTAAGGGAATCCGGAACTGTAATGTGTAACAATTCAAGCCTTGTACAACCTGAGACTTCAGTTTGACAACAGCTGGTCAACCATCAATTACGAAGCCATTTCAAGAAATGATCTACAAGAGTCTTTTAACCACTTGCTGACCGGGGTGTTTCACCTCCTTCCTGGCCAGGCAATTTTTCAGTATTCAGCGCTGCGGTACTTTGACTGACGTTTATTCCGTCATGCAGCGCTGTACTGAAACGAATTTCATACCATTTTTGGGGACACATGGAGCTTTCTGCTGGTGGTATTTAATCACCACTTTAAAAAACAACTTTTATTTTTTACTATATAACAAAAAAAGTACCCTAAATATTGAAAAAAAAAAACATGTTTCCCTATAAAATGTTATGAAACATTTATTATCACCCCAATTTTTTGGTAAAATATAAAAGAGCAAACATGTAAAGCTTTAAAATTGCATGCGCGCGAAATCGCAGAAAACAACCGCAACAAAAAGTGGCCATAGGCGACGCTTTAAAAGTTTTGACCGCTCATCAGTTTAGTGTTATCAGTGATTGATGGCACTAGACTTATTGCTCCCACTCCGACGTTCGCGGCGATATGTAACATGTGCGGAATAATGGGCGCAATCGTCGTTTTCGTACATAGGCGCACCCGACGCATGTATGTGGGGGACTTTAAGACATTTTCTGTGTTATTTTTTTAATTTTCCTAGCAACCAGGAGTGATAACCCCCTAGCAACCAGGAGTGATAACCCCCAGCAACCAGGAGTGAAAACCCCCAGCAACCAGGAGTGATAACCCCCAGCAACCAATCAGATTTCTGTTCACTGCAGTCAGCTCTGTGAAAGATGATTGGCTGCTATGGTTTGCCTTTTTTGCACATGAATGTACCAAGAAGACCACAGAGGTCAACAAGATCAAAGTATTGCGTCTTCTGCATTTAATATTTCGCAGACTGATGTGTGTGTGTAATGCAACACTTAAAAGTGGCATCAAAGACACAACAAGAACCCCATCCCGCCAAAGCAAGGATGATAAGAGGTTAACGAGAGACGATTGTCCGAGAGAGAAGGACGCTGAAGCGTCGGCTGTTATTATAAACTCCTTGCCGTTGTTTATCACCAGCCTGACTAATGCAGTTTTTTTTTTTTTGTTTCGAATAATCTAATGCAAATTAGACACACGCGTCTCCCAGTTGATTGCTATCTGAGCTGAATAATCTGCGAGACACCGAGGGGACACAAGGCAAGGACTCGGAGCCGAGTGAAAAAGGCTTGACAGTTTGCACAGTAACCGGCTAAAAAACGTACCGCAAGCAGAAAGGTTCTGAGACCTTTCTACGCAATTTGGTCATTTTTTTTTTTTCGCCCGTCCTTATTGAACGTCTTCAAAAAGCACTATTTATATCTAAAAGTGGAAAAATAATATAGCAACAAAGCCATTCCATCAATATCAAGAACAGGAACTATTGATATTACCTTGGATGTGAACAAATTTAGATCCATAAAGGCATGGTCTGATGAGTTCCTCAAGTGGCCTGCATAGAGCCCTGACCTCAACCCTAAGGCCCCGTTCACACTGAGCGATTTATCGCACGGTAATTCCCGCGATATCGCGGCTATTTACCGCGCGATATCGCTCTCCAATGCTTGGCAATGGGGCAAAGGGTCCTGCTGTCGCGGGTCGTGTGTCGCTACAGCAGGACCCCATTTTGGAGCGGATTTTGCCGCGATTCAATGCTTTTCAATGCAAGCATTTGCGCGATATCGTGAAAAATGCAAATCGCGCGAGAAACGCGCAATTTGCAAATCGCTAAGTGTGAATGGGGCCTAAGGCCTGGTTCACACCGGGGCGTTTTGTAGCGCGTTCCTACGCTCTGGAAAACGCTCAAACACCGAAATCCCATTATTTCCCATGGGTATGGTTCACACCTGGGCGTATTACAGGCCGTATGAACGCGCTACAAAACGCACTACGCCCAAAGAAGTACAGGAGCTTCTTTGGGGCATTTTTGTTGCGCGTTTCCATTGGGATACAGCCAAGTTGCCCTCGGAAACGCGCGTTTGTTGAATCGCAGTAAAAATGCGCGACAAACGCGCAGATTCCATATGCCTAGGTGTGAACCCAGCCTAACACACACCTTGGGGTTGAATTAGAAAGCCAACTGCGAATGGGGTCAAATTCCCACAGACACACTCCAAAATCTTATGGAAAGCCTTCCCAGGAGAGCAGAGGCTGGAATAGCCACAGTGAGGGGCAAACTTTATATTAGTGCCCATGGTTTTGGAATCGGATGTCCAACAAGCTTATACAGGTGTGGTGGTCAGGTGTCCCCAAACATCTGGCCACAGAGTGTGTACGTGAACTGTTTAACCTGCCAAATTATCTGTAATGTCAGCAACTCTTCTGATTTGCACACGGTACCCAGAAGGTGACACCACTATTCACTAATCTATGGGTGAACTTATTAAAACTGGAGAAGCTGTGCACAATCACCAACCAGCTTCTACCTTCAGCTTTGAAAGCTAGAAGCTGATTGGTTGTTGGACAGAGCTGCTTCAGCCTGAGTAAATTCACCTCCGTGTCACCAACCAACTCTGAGCTCCTCAATGGACCCCTCTACCCCAAGCCCTAGTCCCTGAAATATGTTAGCTGACATCATTGTGCAATGCAATGAGCCCCGGTTCATTCCCAATGTATGACTTGCCTCTCTCCGTCTAAATGCTGCTACATAGGACAAATGTGTGATTGAGCTCCAGTCAGTGATTTGCCTAGGACCGGGATCCAGCCCTCCAGCTGTTGTGGAACTACAACTCCCATGAGGCATTGCAAGACTCTCACAGCCACAGGCATGACTTCTAGAGACAGAGGCATGATGGGTACTTTCACCATAGCTAGAGGACCAGAGTTTGCCCACCTCCAGTCTAGGTTAAGGTGATGCCATTAGCCTGCTGCAGTCAGTAGGGAGCATCTTCTCAGTGTTTTCTTGTCCAGTGATTACTCATGCTGTGCATTATAACTATGTACTAAGTCACAGGGCACCAGTATTTAGATAACTGTATCTTCTCTGAGCCGCCATCTCATGCCAGAAAGTAGGTGGTGACCGTGGATGATGCCTGAACAAAGATGACATCTTCCTTCTGGAGACAAAGACAGACAAAGGCATTGCCATGGGGAAGGGATCTCAGAGAGGAAATACATACCTGGAAGTGTTACTCCGGCACATCATTTAGCAGTGGCGTCACAGTCAGTCAGTGACAGTCATTTTGGTGTCACCCCCTCTAAAAAGTCAGGCACTCCGTCATGGACCGAGAGCACGACAGTTGCAGGGGAGAGGAGGTGATCCGGCAGCATACCTCATCCTGCCGGGTGAACGCCCCCTCCTCTCTCTGCCGGTGTCCTTCACCATGATGGCTGCCGGCAGGTACCAAAAAGATGGCCGCGAATGCGCGATGACGTCACGGCGGGGTGTCACCTGGCCTCGGGACGCCCCTGCATTTAGCATGCAATAATTGTGACAAAGCATACGATGCCAGGTTCCCTT